AAAGCAAAAGAAACACTACGATAAGGGTAGGCGTCAGATACTTTTTCAGGTAGCTGATTTGGTTTTGCGCAAAGTGCATACGCTTTCGAGCGCAGCGGATGGTAAAAACGCGAAACTTGATCCGAAATTTGACGGACCGTTTGAAATTATTTCAGTAATTTCGCCCGAGATCTACGAGCTAACGACGAACAATAAGCATCGTACAGCTAAGGTACACGTCTCGGAAATTAAGCGATATATACCACCGCGTAAGGTAAATAAATAGTTTGCGAAATAGAACAGGTGTAGTAACTGAATTGTTCTGTTTTAAGGTATAAGAGGTTCATCGACGTCAGGTGATGATGGCTGAAACCGAGAAGTCGGGCCGCATCGCTCAAGTCGCCGAGGCCCAAACATTTATAGGCGACGTGACCGCATCGGTGAACTCGGCGGGAATTACTGGGGCGATATAGGTAGACCGAGCATCGGAGTCTGCCGCCCGGTTCTCGGGCCTTGGGCAGGCGGCCTCCTTTGACGTCAAGGTTGCCACCTGTGTTTCACAGTTGGCACAGGCGTCGGTTGGCGGGGACAGTGACGGGCAGGCGAAGGGGTTCCCTTTGCCGCCGCCCTTGCCTTCGCCTCCGACGCCGTTCGTGAGCGACCGGCGAGGGGTCCGTCTATTAACGGGAAACCGCCGTGCGGGTTCGATAATTCGTCTGGCTACGCCCACGCGTACATGGGACGAGGCAGTGCGTCGTAGCGCAGCGTTTCGGCTCACGACGCTTTGCATACGCGAAGCGTCGGTGAAGTCGAGAGTTATCGCCGCAAAAGAGGGAATTGTCTTCTCGCAGGCGGGCACGAGTAGCCAAGGCGAGAAATCGCCGAGTTCTCAAGCTGCCGCGGGAGGATATCTCGCGGGTAGGGCGGCAAATCGAAGCCGCACCGCGAGGGCTTCTATTGGAAGGGGAAGCTGGAGTCCCACAAAGCGAGGCGCCACCAACGGTATACTGGAGATGGTGCTAAGCTCGAGCGACTCCGAGGATGAGGCGATGCCGGTGCAGGAGCTGCCTCGAGTGGCTCCACAGCCACACATCCATCCTAACCTCCCTTTCAAACCGCTCGTGTTACAGAGGCTAGACCCCGCGTATCAATTCGTTCGTAGGGGTGGGCCCGCGCAATTCTACCCAGCGGGGTATATGGAGGACGAGAGAAGGAAGGAGGCTGAGGCTCGCCAGAACTAGTAGGTAGGAGGAAGCGCACAATGCGTTTCAACCTATCCGCGTGTAATTTTGAGAGGCCATCCTCCAGATCGACACCAACTCTACCCAAGATGGCGGAGGGAGCCGTTGTTGAGGCAGCAGGGGCCCTCCAGCCACCGGTTTCGCTGGCTGTCGACAAAGGGAGAGCCTCAGGAGTTAGTGCGAGCACAGTTGCCGAGAAGACGGGAGAGGCAGGCACAAGGATGGAAGTGGTGGTGCCGCCGACCCCGCGAAGAGTGGAGCCGGTTGTGCCGGAGCGACCAACCCTTGGACCGTTACGACCTATCCCGACTCCTCCAGCAACGAGCTCAGCCTCGTCCTCTGCGTCGCCGTGTTGGATCGACGAAACCGGGTTTCGGTTGTTAAGAGGTAGCTTCCTGCAAAATCTGGCTCCGGTCCCTTGGGATGAGGAATTGGAAGTGCCCTCGTTCCGCTGTTTTAATTGCAGAACGGGGTCACATCCCAGGTCAGCCTGCAGGAACCCGCCTCTCTCCCGTCCGGTCTGTAGAAACTGTGGACGACTCGATGTCCGCGTTCACGACTGTCCACGTTGCTGCGACGCCTTCATGGCAGACCAAGAGCGCGCTCGATCGGTGGAGGAGGTAAGGGTTCGGGCTCGACCGGGCGAACCAGTAGAGCTCCCGGCGACGCAGGTAAAGACTGTAGAGCCGGAGCTCGAAGTTTCTAGGTCGATGCCCGAGGTAACCAGCCCTGAATCCTCCGTCGGGGAGCCCAAGGTGAAAAAGCCCAGGCACCGATGTGGCAAGCGTTTTTGCGCTAAGCTCACGCGTAGGTCACAGGCGCTTGTGGCAGAGGGAGCCGGTTCGGCTGACAATACGGGGATGGAAGTCGCGCCGCGGACGGAGCAGGCATCGGTCCCCGTGGGTGAGCCAAGCTATCGGAGCGCCGAGGTGATTGGGTCCGAGGCGACTGATGATGCCGGCCAAAGACTATCCGGGGCAAGTGCCTCGTTTCCTTCGGCGGAGGAGCTTCGAACGCTCAGGCTCCGGTATTTGGAGTCGTTGGAGCGGCAGTAAATGGTAAGATTCTTGGTTTAATTGAATACTGAGTTAGTCGCGATCTTGACGCAGTGGATTAGTCGGCTCGCTATGACGAAAGGTTAGGCATATCACTCGGATTAGACTATTGGGTTTGTTAGATTTTCTCTTAGTTGATCTGGTTGTTACCAACTTAGAATTAATTATGATTTAAGCTAACTCTAAGATATTATTATATAATTTAGCGTCTATCGTTGGGCGCCATTGACGGTCGACAGGGAGAGAGAGAGGGAGAAACGGAGTCAGGCAGTTCGCGGGTGCGAACTTTGGCCTTGGAAGAGGGTGTGACGAGAGCAGGCCGTGTGCCGGTCTCTCGTCTGCGTTCTCCCTCCTCCACTCGGCAAGGCATGTTGGCCAACGTTAGGCACATTAAAGTATGCGCCTAACACTTGGTCTTTTTGTTTCAGCGCCAAGGACGGGCCAGCGCAGTTGAGCGCAAGAAAAGTTGAGGAGTGCGGAGAGAGAGTGAGAAAAAGAGAGAGAGAGACTATTAGGCCCATGCAGGGATTGGCAGGCGCGCAACGCGTGACCGATAAGCGGCGCGTCGTGTGCCGCCTAACTAATAGGTCAAGGTAGGGAGAGGAGCGAGCGCCGCTGAGCGGCTGCAAGACGAGCGCAAGAATAAGTGCGTGTAGGAGGCGAAGCCCAGTCCTACTAGAGTGCAGTAGTCCTGCTAGAGAGTGCAGTTTGGGATAGCTGGAAGGAAGGTGAACCCTACCGGCAACAGCTTTATCTGCGACCGCAGCCAGCCCACCCCTGCAAGGAGAGTCAACGTCGCCTGTGGATACCTGGTCAGCGATAGCAGCCAGCAGCTAGTAACGATCTGACCAGCGACGACGACCAGTACTTCCTGCGGCAACACATCGCCCGGGATCGACGACGTTGCTAGGAGCGGTGAACAAAGGTCAAGCCTTCTTTCCTTCTTTCTCTCTACACTCTCTCTCTCTGCTGATGCGACGACCGGTGCGCGTTGAATAGGATAGCCAGGCATCCACGTGCCGGCTATCTAAAGGTTCGCGCTTAAGTTTAATTTGTAGTAACGTAAGTTGCGACCGGCGAATTGTCCAGGCGCCCACGTGCCGGGCAGTTCATCCGGTATAGGTTCGTGTAATTTAAGTAAGTTTGTAATAGGTTAAGTGCGCGATTGGATATTAAGACGAAATGCGAAATATTCATTTCTGAATACTATGAGTAGTTTATTATTCTATTGTGTAGTTGGTTAGTTAGTAATTAGACTATGTTATGCGCGCGTATGTTTAGCTTGAACAATGATTAATAATAATAGGTTGTAAGTGAGATTTGATTTCTGTCTTTATATAATTCATTTATCAACCTCTCCTCGTTCTTCTCCCTCAATTGCCTTGAGCGAAAGTGCCTCACTTACCCCGCAAAGAATTGGTAACAAAGGATCGAGTTTTGTTACAGCTTGATGCTGAATCTTCCAAAATATTTGAACATAACTTCGTCAATTGACAAATTAAATCAAGAAATCCATATCTCATACAATTTTCCCTAACTAATTCAAATAAATATCTGACTTTCCAGACTTTATCTTTTTCATTTTTGTCTTGAAGTTTATAAAACCTAATGTTTTTTTTTATTTTTACAAATTTTTCCCTTGGCATAAGTTCTTTTATTATTGGACACTGCAAAAGTCGTTTGTTGGACCAATAATCAGACTGCCTTTTCCTAGAATTGACTATAGTAATCATAATGATCACGATGAATCGGTCTAAATTATCATTGGTCAATTCAAAGTGGTTTTCGGAAGTAGCTTCTATAATAAAGTTTTTCATTGATTGAGAAAAAAAGAGTTCTAACAATTCCAAAGAACTTTTTGAGTAAAATGATGAAATAGATGAAAGATCATAGTCATCATCTGGAAGATCGTTATAATTCAAAGCATTATCACGCTAATCATACTTATGATTCGGTTCTAGTAACTTCTGGTCACTAGGATAAGAACTCTTTATATGTTCATACGATCCTGTAGGAAGTGGCCGAAGTGAAGTATATTCTTCTTCTTCATTACTTGAACCTTCATCTGAGCTCTCATGCTCTGTTGGAAGAAATGCAATATCAACATGATGGTCACCATCTATATCATCACCATCAACCATCTAATTCAAATCAGCATTTCTTCGCCTCGTCATGGTATTACAGTTTTATATTGAAGTATATAAAAAGAACAAAATCAGTAATTTATTCAATATAATAGAATGGTCTTCTATTTCACTGAGTGACAAGCTATCATCGAAATAGTATATGACACCGAACTATTTAGTCGATTTACATTTGAAATAAAGACAGGAATGAAAATTAGAAAGAATTATAAAATTATGAGGAATTTCTACTGATGGTGTGATTATTTCAGTACAACCGCAGAAAATCTTTTTCAAGTTATTTTTAGCTCACATTCGGTTCGTAAAATTCAAATGATGGAAACTACTTTATGATTTCTAATTACAATTGTATGATAAAAGGCTAAAGAGGTTTTCGCCTTGGTTTTTCCCGTAGAACCGATTGCCGTAAATAGTTTTTCAAAAAACTAAAACTTTTGTCAATTTGTTTAAATAACTTTTTATAAACAATTGGAAATGCAAAAAGAAAAAACACGTGTAAATTATTTTTGAGCTATAACATGAACTCAATAGTTATTTCAAGGCTATCTCTACCAAATTTGGCTTGGGTATTAATGGGTTAATCTTACTTAGTTTCATGTAGAATATGTAATAATTTTCTCTTAACGGAAATGGTAATTGTGGGTAAAACAAATTTTTATAAATAGTATTCAGAGCGATCATGAAATTTCTTGGGGATATTAATCTTGGATACACAATCCCCAATTTTCCATCATTAATTGAGTCATAAACTAAAACAATGTTTTCTGTTAAGTCCTCCATGTGTATATTTAGATCATATATAGATTCCAGCATATTGTTATTAAAGGCCACTCTAAAAGTACTTTGAAAAAAAAGTTGCAGTGTTCTCAAATTTTTTTCATAGTAATCAGTAAGATTAACAAATTCTCGGAGAGTACTTTGCATAATCGCTGTTTGATTATTTACGAGTATTGCTATGCGCCCTGTTCTATTATATACGAGGTGTGATCAAAAAGTAAGGTAAATTTTTATTTTTCTCAAAAAATATTTATTTATTCATCAATTTTTATTTTATCTCCTTCAAAGTAATCCCCCTCGGATATAATGCACTTGTGCCAACGCTTTTTGCAATCCTCAAAGCATTTCAAAAAATCATTTTTTGTGATCTTGTTTAATTCATCCTTCGATGCCGTCTTTATCTCCTCAATCGTGGCAAAACGCCGTCCTTTCATGGGCCTCTTCAGTTTTGGGAACAAGAAGAAGTCACAGGGGGCCAGATCTGGGGAATACGGTGCCTGTGGCATCGTTACTGTGTTGGTTTTAGCCAAAAATTCGCGCACAAGCAACGATGTGTGAGCAGGGGCGTTATCATGGTGCAAAAGCCAATTTTTATTTTTCCACAAATTCGGACGTTTCTGGCGGATTGCTTCGCGCAAATTGCGCATAACTTGCAGGTAATATTCCTTATTTACTGTTCTACTCTGTGGCAAGAACTCATGATGCACCACGCCCCTGCAGTCAAAGAAAACTGTAATCAAAACCTTTACATTTGATCGAACTTGGCGTGCTTTTTTTGGTCTTGGTGATCCAGAATGCCTCCACTGGGACGATTGAGTCTTAGTCTCGACGTCATAACCGTATACCCATGTTTCGTCACCTGTTATAATTCTGTTGAGTAAATCTGGATCATCGTTGACGTCATTCAGTAGCTCTTGGGCGATGCTCATGCGACGTTTCTTTTGGTCGAAATTAAACAATTTCGGAACAAACTTCGCTGACACGTCTCATGTCTAAAACACTCGTCAAAATTGATTGGCATGAACCAAATGTGATGCCAATATCATCAGCAATTTCTCTAATGGTAATTCGACGATTTCCCAACACTATTTTCTTCACTTCTTCAACATTCTCATCAGTTGTTGATGTGCTGGGGCATCCAGAACGAGGTTCGTCGTCGGTGTCTTCTCGGCCTTCTTGGAAGAGTTTATACCACTTGTAAACATTTTTTTGGCTTAAAGTAGACTCACCGTATGCCACTTTCAGCATTTCAAGTGTTTTGGAACATTTGATTCCATTTTTCACACAAAATTTAATGCAAACTCTTTGATCCATGTTTTTAGACAGCAGCAAATCGTGGAGCACGCAAAACCCTTCTAACCTTGATGCCTCTCACAAACAAACCAAACATACTACAAAGCTGAAATTTGGAACGTATGTTCTAGACGAGTGTACCGACATAACCTAATAAAAAAGTCGAAGATCGAACGGACGTAGCCCGCTAAATTTCAAAATTCACCTTACTTTTTGATCACACCTCGTACAGCATCTATATCTCGATTGATTCTCTCAGCATCATCTGCTAACATAGTACCAAATAAATAATGTTGCACGGTGCCAACTATATTAAATAACCCTCTTTTTTCTCTCTTCTCGTGACTTAATGAAAGTAATGAATAGATTTCACGTTGAATTTTCTTAAATTTGTTACGTATTGAATTCAAAGATTGGGCATGAATGCAATAGTCATATAGGGAACATTTATGTTGAAGATCTTGTATATTTATATTCAGCTGTTTTGCACTATGTACCAGGTCATTCATGTCAACAAAATGCACTGTCGTCCAAATTTCATGATAAAGCCTGGCTTTAAACAATTCGTCTTGCAATATAGATACGGTAATAAACGATACGTTAATCGGAGACCCGACACGGCGGTTCTGATAAATATCGTTTATTTAATCACTTGCTATCGCGGCAAATTATGGATTTTTCGAAAAAATAGATTAGAGCACTTTTGTATATTGTGACGAGCTGAACAACTTTTATTCGAAACATTTTTTCATAGGACATTTAGTTTCCGAGAAAAATGCATTTATTTATTTAAAATGTGAATAACTTTTGATCGGATGGTTTTTGCGAAAGAGGGCCAAAAAATTCGCATTCAGCAGGTCGATAAGCACACAAAAAAATGATAAAATCGCCATCAGCTACGTAAATAAATGCGCCAACAGCTATAAGCCACGCTAAGTCAGCGAACGGCGAGCTCATCTAAGACGTCGGCTGGGGCGTTTCCAGCTCGATCGCGTTCGTCTTAGCACGAGCACACATACCCGGCTACCCGTGCACCAACCAGCGGCTACCCGAAGCACGGGTAGTCTGCGGCTGCTTGACGCTCAATTTTTACCTACCCGAGGCTGGAGCTCATGGCTTATAGCAGCGCATGATACTTTCCACTTGCATCACGCAACTTTCTTCTTCCATGCGAACTAACAGAGATTGCGGAAAATAAATCTAAATTGAAAATCGGAATTTTGTTATAAAATATATAATTTTTCTCCAAGAAAGCGCAAGGCATACTTGATTTTACTATTTCAAATCGTCATTTAATACAAATTACCTTTCTATGAGAAATGTACGTGGTACATGCGATTTTTATGTTTTTACCAACAAAAATTTAGATTCTTTGCTATGAATACTAAAAATATAATAATAAGCGTATTGTATTCAAGTGAAAAAGAATTGCGTAAATATCAAAAGATCAAAGTGGTTTGAAAAGTTCAGATATTTTTGTTTATCTTAATTGATGGTACGTAATTAATCAATAGTTTTCAATACAGGAACTTGTAATTTATTCCTCTTTTGTTAGCGTTAGTTAATTAAATAATCTATTCATTTTTTTTCCGTGTAGGATCGACCTGATTGTCAAACATAATTTAAACTGCAAACGTAAAAATAATAAGTATCGACTCTTTTCTGTGGTTGAATAATTCACTTGAAAAGTTTTGCATTCTGGAGAGGACGTCCTGTTTGAAAGTGATACTCAAAAGCTGTTACGCGTAAGTAAAAAATCTATTCTTTTAAATTTGCTTATGACAGAATAGCTATTAGATTTCAAATTTTTAAACGACATACGAAAGTACTGGACTATTATAACTACTAAAAAAGGTTACTTTTTGTAAAATCCGCTATTATTAAATATAAAAAGAAATATATTCTGAGTGAATAGCTAATAATAACTGCAAACAGCTGCTTTAAACTTTTATAATAGTAATCATCACTTTTTAAAACTTAAACTGAAACCATTTTTTTATCATTTTCTCTTGGATACTTCTTATATGCATACATATAAAAAAATAAACCTGTTCTACTTACTGCGATAATCCTATTAGCACAACTGTTCGCGATAAGAGTAGTGTTAATAAAAACAATTATTACAAAATTATATCTAATTTATTATTATGACAAAAAAAATTATTAGTATTTATCAATTATAAATAAACAAATGAAATCGAATTGTAAAAACAAATAATATCTTTAGACGATCAACTTGCCTCGCTGATAGCCAAGAACTTTCTGACTAATACTTGAATTATGCTTGCCGAACGAGCCGAGAAACCAAAGCATTATTTTCCTCCATGCGATTCGAGTTGCGAGCTTGAGAGCAGGTGGCATTAAATTTTTGTATTTTTTTTGTTTAAACATGACATGTGGCAATTGTACGGTTCTCCTTCCGATCAAATTTTACTCTATGTTTGTTATAATTCAGCTCGAGTCGGCCGACATCATTCTGCATAGTTTTAATCGCTCGGTTTACAATAATTTTCGCCAATAAAATTATGATTGCGCTCACTCATTCAGCTTATGTCTAGGTGATTAATACTACGAAGGTTACAATTTATAATCGCAGAGAAAACGTAAAACGGTTTAAAATTAAACTAAACTTAAATAAATGGCCGGCATAAAAAACCTCGCCGTCTGAGAGGAAAAAGCCTGCCATTTTACAAGCCAAACTTAATCTAAAAAAGGCGCAGAGACAATATTAAAAGATGGCATAATCGCGTACATTTCGTTGCAATTTATTTTTCTTCTCCGAAGAATTTTTCGAATGTCGGCTCGGCGACACTTGATTGTATGGTCGTAGATTCGAGAGCGAAGGCTTTATCGGATTTTGTATGCGTATAAAAGTTGTATCGTATATCGGCTATAAATCATGGAACAAAGAGAGAAATTTGAAATAGAAACACTATGAAAATTAAGACTTTCAGGCACACGTCATCGTCGGCACGAGTTTCGATTTTGACACAAGCATCTTGATTTCGTTGCAAGCAAACCACGGTTAAATTATACTCGGTCGTACGAAACAACAACAGAAACTGAATTACATAAAACTCAACACTGGTTTTGAAGAATTATTTTTAAATGAAATCTTTCTTATAGATTTTATCGATTGCCGTGGTGGCATACATGAGAAGCAGAACGATACTGATCTTTGATAGGGATCGTTCTGAAGCTCAAATCATCGATTGCGAATGAAGAAATTCAAATATTAAGCATATATAAACCATTGGTGACAGAGTGTGTATGTGAATAAAGAGATAAATATAGTATGGCTTTCAAATGTATAAACATTTGGTGACAGTTCATTTGGATATATCACTGCGCAGTTTATGTTATTTTAAAGTGTATGGAACCGATGGAAAAAGAAGTAACCTTCATCGGTTACAAATTTTCATTTCAAAATTATTTTGTCTTTTAAGAAGTTGAATCACCATTATTTGGAATCTCGGTATTAATTAGGTTTAAATAAAATAATAACACAACACATAAATACATTTTTTATGTAATTACACGGGAAGTATGCATTTTCATAAATCAACATTTTCTGGCGCTCTAAATTATTTAATATAATTCTCACGTCTTTCAATATAATTAGAATATCATCTCATAATATTTACGACATTGAAAGAACTAAAAATTTTATGAGCGACATGAAAAGCCTCTGTCCAATTGTGTGCAACTTGGCTTACTATAATCAATCACTCTCTTGCGAAGAAATAGATATTCATCGCATGTTGTATCATAAATTTGATTATTATACACTTACCAAGTATTTAAGCCGAAAATATAATGAAATTTGTCTTTTATCCAAAAATATCAATATACGATAATTAAGTAAACATTGCAAATGTAATTTTGTAGTAATTTTCAGGTACAAGTCAGCTAAATATGGAAATACAACTTTTTTAGTAATTTTTTTTCAAAAATTAAAACATATAAAATATAAGTATACCATCAAAGGGATGTACAGAAAAAAAAATGCTTAAAAAAAGTATGTTCAATGGGATTCGAACCCGCTACCACGAAAATAAAAAGTGATGGTATGCTTTAGCTACCTCGGCTATCGTCATATGTTATTTAAATGATATGGATGTTACATATGTTCATTAAGAAGAGGTGGGGCTTACGTTAAACTAATTCGTTTAAGTACTTGTGATGAGAGTATTTTTCAGATTAGTTGCAAAGAGAGAATCCTAAAAGATCATAATAAGACTTGTTTCCGACCACCGCTCTATCGCCGGCCACCAAATATCGAAAGTGAATTTAAGCGCGCGTACATGCACGTTTCTCCTCTTCGGCTGCTATAGGCCGACGATTGCCGAGTGTCGTCGACTGTCTGCGCACGCTTGAAGGGGCGGTGCAGGAGAGCGAAACCATACCGCGCCTTCCCCAGACTTCCCCTTCTACCTTATTTACGTAAAGTTTCTTATTTATTTTTTATCTCAACATTTTCCACTCATCGATGTCGGGTTAAACATTGTTTCTGATGTAAAATTTCACGCTCTTTCGATTGGTGCATGTTATTTTGTCGTATGTTCAGCCGTTCGCGAGATACAGGCGAAAACAAGTTTCAAATGTGATTTTCTCATAGAACCCCTGGACCTAGAACTCTGCAACTTTCAGAATCGTCTTTTTTGACCTCAATTTACCATATATCAAAAATGCATCCACTACCGTGACAAAAACATTTCAGGCCTATTTTTACTGGACTATTGTTTTTTACAAGGAAGTAGGAGTATTAGGATTATGTATCTGTTTTTATTGTTTTGTTTTTTATACTTGTATTGTGGTTTTTTCGAGGAATTCTGTGACAGCAAGCTTTTGGAGTTGTTGTATTATTTAGAACGCGTGTGGTATCTATTGGCCATGTTATTTTGCTTTTCTTAGTTTTGTTAATTAGAGATTTTCTTTGGTTAGCGTATTTGGGACAGTCGACAACTACGTGTTCAATATCCTCAGACCAGTAGCCACATTCGCATCTGAGAGAGTCTTTTATGTTTTTTCTATGCATGCTTTATTTAGTGAGTAATGGTTGGATGTAAGTCTGTTCATCATTGTTATGTGGTCTCTTTGCTTGTTATAGTTCTTAAACCATGCGCTGTTATTAAAGAAGGTTTGGAAGTATTTGACACCTTTAAATTTGCCTTGTTTTATCAGATAATCTTTTGTTTTAGTTATGTACCTATTTTTGAATGTTTCTTGAAAGTCAGAGTATGGGAGTGCTATTTTAATTTCGCTTTCTTTTTTTGTAACTTGTTTTGCTAAAGTGTCTACCTTTTCATTACCTGTGATATTTTTGTGCGTCGGAATCTAGCATAGTTGTAGGGAGGTCTGTTGTTCAACAAGTTTGTATATTTTATCTTGTATTTCAAGGATTATATAATTAATATTTTTTGTTTTTGTAGGGTTGTAATGGAGTAGAGCTGAGATGACACTTTGAGAGTCTGTGAAGATTGTGGCTTTGGGGATATTTCTAATTTTGATAAGATCAAGAGTTTTAGATATGGCTGTTGCTTCAGCAGTGAAGATGGAAGCATTATTATTTTTAATTTTGTACATTAGTTGTAAGTTTGTGTTGGGAGAGTAAACGGCAAAGCCA